GTAATTTACGTCAGACAGTTGAATTCTCCTTTGTGATGCAACACAGTGCAATAAAAATAATGATACTCAAATAACCAAAACATTTTATATTGGTTCCCATACAACTTTACGACCAGAACAGAAAACGTAAAATTGATTAGTATTCATTTTACAGCTATGGTGTGTAGTTTGTACACATGGATCACTAAATAAAAAATAGCGAAATAAGACGTAGATTATTACGCATGGATAGCAAATTGATTGATGCTATTGTTGGCCGTTACTAAATGAGGTAGCTGGAGTCATGTGCTAGACGTCCCCAGTAATTCTCCCCCTGAAGCATTACATCAGTTATCAAAAGAGTTGGTTCAAAAAACTAAAGTGTGACCAGACTTGAACATGAAGTGTGATAAAGTGGATCGAAGCACAATGGTCAGAGTCTATAAGATTTATGCTTCCCTGCCTTTCAAACTATGAACATAACAAACTGTAATGATAGTGGCATTTCAAAGCCATATGTAATAATACCGATCTGATTTTTAAAAAACAAAACTTGTTGTAACAGCTAACTACGATCTCTAGCAAGAGAAGGAGTAGAAAATTAGTAAAACGTTAGTAAACATTATTGAATCTTGATAATCATAGTGATTATTTGAAATTCCACAATTCTAAACTCAAGCAATTTAAACAAACTTCAATCCTAACAATAGATATAATAGGCAAATATTCACCGTTTGTTGAGAACACTTAATAAAAGAACACTCAACCCATATCCTTATATTTAATTTTATCGATATACTAGTAATGCATCATTTCATCATTCAAAACTGTCGAATAAATACACAAAATTTCAGATAGATCGTAGCTCAAACGTTCTTGGCCGGACAACAACTTATGGTAAACTGCTATCAAAAATGAGCACATAGAGTAATTTCGGTCAGAGAAGTTCAGCTACGTTTTATTTAATTATTTAACGGAGATTAAAAATGTATAACTGAAGGGTTTTATCGTTTACTAAGAGATTATATCATTGATTCATTATTCAGATGAAATAGTTGGTATAACTTAATCTTTGAAACAAATTGAATAATAATTTCAATAGTTGAAATCACGAGTCAATTGAAACTAGACCACCATGGAAAACCTGGGAGCACTGGACGGCCAACTCATCCTAGTATGGGAATCCTCAGCAGTGCGCATCCACAATCCCACCCACCGCGAGATTCGAACCCAGGACCTATCAGTCTCGCGCCAGGCGCTTAACCAACTAGGCCACTGATCCGGCATCCAACGGTGTTAATGTCTAACTTCAACCAATCCACGAAGTTGCGCCACCGTCACCATTGTCTTCAGTGAGCTGATATCTCACAACAGACCTGGTTGAACTCCGCTGGTCACGACTTGTCACTAGAACGCCAGGAGACTGATAGGTCCTGGGTTCGAATTTCGCGGTGGGCGGGATCCTGGATGCGCACTGCTGAGGAGTCACATACTAGGACGAAAAGGCCGTCCAGTGCTTCAAAGTTTTCCATGGTGGTCTAGCTTCAATTGACTCATGATTTCAACTATTGAAATTACCAATTCTCCACAAAACCCCTTCTGAATAATAATTACATAAAAAATTGGGATCCATTTTTATTGAGAATTCTTATTGAAGGACTGATTTTCTTAAATATCAATCCTGACAGGAATGAAGTAAATAACCGGAATAAAATTTCCTATAGGTCCAAAGAACCAATTCAGTTTTTTCCTATTCATATCATTTATGATACGGTATAGAGGTTCATTAATCTATGTATTAGTTCACCAGTACTATATAGTTACTTGATACTGAAAGTATGCACAATGTTTGTTATCACCACTAACTCCTTTGTTTATTAAGATTTTAATCCAAATTAAAAGAGCAGAAACTGATGATAATTAAACTGAGACGGCAAAAACCAAGTCACCGACCCTTTTTGTTTGGTAAAAATACATGACCTGTGGTTGAAACTCGAGATTATTGACATTTATGGTTGTACACATCAAGTGATATGAATCCAGAGTGGTCACATCAGGTTGAATGCAACCGATCTGCTACCATAAGGCATTTTTATGACGTCCTAATTCTAATCTTTATTTTCAATAATTAAATTGCCATTCATAAATTAGTTCATCATACATCGATTACCTGAATGTCCTAGTTATACACATACTGAGACATTATTTACAGTGGTGTAGTCTAGAGCTTTACTAATATGATCATGTGGATCTTTAATTCTGCATAATACAAGGTACCTGAATAGTCTTTCCAGTGTCCCGAGTGGTAGATTAAGAACAAATGAATTATTTGTGTAAGGAATCTATCGTAGGCGTGTATAGTAACGGCATTACCGGACTTACAGTAGACTTAACAAATTCATAACACAATTACCGTCTTCCTTAAAGATATGAAAATTGTATTACTCTATATCTTCAATCTCCGCAATGTATTCGGCGAGACTCAAATTTATGGACGAGCCAATCAGAAGCGTTTTAGAGATTTCAGGGTTACGGCGCCAACTTCAGTGCTTAATTCTAACGTACGATGGGTTCACAAAGAATTTTGTACAAAACGTGATAATTGAGCGGCTATAACAAATAAAACAGCGAGAATATAATTTGTGGATGATACAATCAGGTATAAGATAACAGGTCTCGGATTTTAACGCGAAAGCCTTTCATGCATTTGGCTAAATAGATTCCTGGCATTATAGCTGATGTCAGTTCGTGATGAAAACATCATATATAATTCCTAGCTAAGGCAACTTATGACAATTGTCGCGAACTGGATAATAAAAGCATCAATAACACTGGCTGCAGCCAGGTACTACAATATACTCGGATGTTTGGAGAGCGCACAGACTACTACATAGGCTTGGTTATGTGCACCGTGTCGTTATCCACAAGTAGCACTTTGTGCACTCAACAACCGAAGTGCACATAAACAATATTTAAACTATGTGGTCGAGGCTGAAAGATTTTATGAGACTTTATCATGGCTCCAGAGGCCGACTATTCTGTAGCCGTATGGGTGATTTCCTCTGAACCTCTTTCTAAACATGACAAGTTTTCGAACCACGTATAAGAAGTGTATCCACTTTATTTCCTTGGTTTTGTATAATATATTTTTACTCTATACTTACTGTTTGCTAATTGGCTAACATTCTCATTGTAACCTAAGATTCGTTCAAAGGTTGTCCATAAGTTAGTCTTGCCATATAATCTTAGAACAGCTTCTACTGTCTTTGTACAGTGTAATAACCCGGAGTCGATATAAACCTGTCAGACCCTAATTCCTTTACAATCATCTATATATGATTGATATGATGAGCATCTGTTGCTCAACGAAGATAACCTTTGATTCACTGGATTTTAAACCTCTCAGTATAGTGACTGTTAAAAAATTTTGAGCCAACACAACGATCATACAAAATGTTAGAGTTATCGGGTTTAATAACAACTGCTCTAAATGGTGAGTTTAGGGTAGGATTTGAGTTAGATGTTTAAATAGGCAATTCCATTCGTCTTCAACTTTATTATTTCGGTTGCCATTACGTAACCATTTAGCGACTATATCAAAATACTCTCTGAAGTTAAAATGCTTTATTTATCCAATATCTGGCTTAGCTTTTGACTAGATAGCCCACTTGTTCATCAACTAATAAAATAGATGGTATGAAACGAAACCCTAGCAAAATGAGGTAGATACGACCATAATTCGTGAGTAAACCATAGTTAATAATTTATACGCGGTAAATGTTGTAATATGCCTCCTAAATGAACTCCAAGTTAAATCGAAAATACTGATTAAGATGAAAATAAAAATAAATCGCTTCAGAGATCTAAACAGTCGTCATCTATATTACTCTATGGTACCCAGTTACCAAGTAATCAAAAAATTAGACGTATGTCTCAATAACTAGAGTAGAATAAGACTAGGCGATCACTAAATATCATCTGAATGTCAAAAAGCTGCTTTTTTATACAAAACTGGTAAAACCTTCGTTTAACAAAATACAATCTAATATTTTTATAATGAAATATGAATATATGATTATATAATCATCTTCTGTAGGGAAGGGGTGTGATAATACTATAATATCAAAAGTTAATAATCCGATGAGAATATTATATTTTGCAAAAAGTTAATCAAATCTAATTATTCATTGATATCGGAAAAAACTGATGTTAAAAAGTAGGCAGTTGTAAAAGAGCCATTAAATTCATATCCACATATGGATATAATAATATTTGAAAATAATACACAGTCAATACACGTGTATGTATAAAAAAGAATTTCAAGTGAATGACAAAAGAAAAAGGAAATATGTATGATCCGTTTATTGAAAAGAATAATATAGAGAAAAACAAACTGTATAAATGTGCTGAAAAATTACTACATACACAAAACAAAAACAATAATTAAAATTTTTCATAATTATTACCACTTTAACTTAACATATTTTAATAAATCCAACATAGAAATAAAGTTATAACAACATTGATTTGTTTATTTTAATATGAAAGGCTTTTTGAGCAATTTCAAGAAGGATAAAGATGATAGAAATAATAGTTTTTTTAAAAGAAACTGTCAGCTAAATTCGCAAATGCCTGGATTTACATAATTATTTATATGTATATAATACTTATGTATACAAAAATTTTTAAATAGTACACTAAAAATAAATAAATAACAAATGTATTCATTGTTCAAGCGATGCCTAAACTAGACTTGATTAATGAAAATAGTTTATTCTTTATACACAACTACATATTTGTAGATTATTATTATGAATACATGGCGGATGTATACAAATGTAGTAATTGGCTGCAGTTGAAAGAATTTTGAGCAGACTGATCAGAAAAAAAGAATACACAAGGGGAACTGTTCACATCTGGGTTTTGTTTTACTGAGATCAAAGTGACATAATAAAACATCAACGCAAAATATCTCATACATTTACACATTTATTGGTATGTATAAAAAAATGTTAATTACATCAACTAACAGAAATTTTTGAAAGATTAATGTGTACGTCATTGTTGGGTAAATTATCCTGTTCATTTTTAGATGTGTTAGAAGTGTTGTTTTGTGGCAAATTGAATGAATTCTGTGATGCATAATTGAAATTTGATGGGACAAATTGTACTTCTGTGACATTAGATGCTGGACAACAAGTATCTGATTGACAATTCTTGTTTGGACCACAATCCAACACACATGTGCGATAATCTGTATTTGCTATTGATCCTTCAATGTTCTGTAGAAAAAAATCAGAATAAAGTATCATTTATTGATTAAAATTTTAGACCATCCATAAACTTTCAGTGTGAAATAGTTTTCCTAACGGCATGAATAAAATTACACATGCATTTCAACAGTGCATTACGACAGTACAATATGTGTAAGCTTCGTTTCTATTAAGAGCAAGTAAACAGTGATGATAAACCTTAGTTGAACAATGGACAAACAGTCATACCCAAGAACCCGAACAAACCACCTCACGACTTCCTATGGACCAATAGACTGTTATTTACTTTCCCGAGGCAGCATCATAGTAGAGCTGTGTTTAAATCCATTTTGTATGAAGGTAAGAAGTAAAATAGAACCGGAAAGATGTATACTAATAAAGAACCAAACTAACAGGAAAAGCAAGAGACAAAACAAAGTTCATCGAGTGGGTTACTACAATAAACAAATACCCTACATCGGCATCATTATGTAAATGATACAAGTAAAAATCCAGTTTTATACTTAAATTGGGTATGACCGCTACAAAATGTGCCCTAAAACTGCCTGTTTTAAAATACATGTAATCATATTTATCGAGTTAGTATAACGTCGATTTGCTGGAATCAAAATCCACTCTACTGACCAATTGTTTTATCTTTTAGTATCAGCTTATAGGGTCAACATTCTGGTCATGTGAGCAGTTATCAGTCGGCTACAATGTATCTTTGTGCAGTATTTACCGATCGATATTCCATGAGAAATTTTTACTAACGAAAGATGAGTACTTAAAATTGAAATTTGACTTTTATCACTTCTACGATTTCAACTAAAACGATTTTTATGGGTTGTTATTAATAAAATGAATAAAACAAGCTTAGGAAGTAGAATCCACCGTATTAATGAGCTACAAGAATATTAAAAAATATAACCAACAAAACACATTATTTTGTTATCAGATAGAAATTTGTAAAACCAGTCAGTTTTCTAACACTTATATGGACATTATAACAGCTTCTTACCTTGTAAAAGAACAACAAAACAAGTCACATATATTAAGAAAAGTTTAGAAAATTACCTCTTCAAATTCCGGTTGTATTGTTGTACAGTGTATATTGAATTCGTGGAATAGTTGTTTCACTTCACGAGCAATACTTAAATAGTCCGCTTTATTAAACAAATATAATAATTAGGAGTAAAAAAAGAATAACATAGAATTGTAATGAAGTGTTTGATTATATATATATATATATATATATATATATATATATATATATATATATATATATATATATAATTTACGAGTGAATTATTATAATTTATTATTTCACCTTAAAACCTTGTGAATTTTAAACAACAAGAAGAAACTTTACCCAAGATATTTTGAAGAGATGAAACATTTCTGGTTACATCTATTGAATCAATCTGCTTGCACTAATAAACAGAATAAGTTATTGTGTACCAAAATACTAATAATACATATAATCAAAATATTTATTCTCAAGTATCTAATCAATTTGAAATAATACTTTTTTTATTGAATAGGTGGAAAGTGAATTCTTTTTTTAAATGAATGAAAATAAATGTATTTTGTTGAGAATGATGATACTAAATTAAACGGCAAAAAAATTATAGTATTTGAAATGTGAAAAAAAGCGTTATTACAAATAGTGTATTTTAAATTAACATGGTAGGAAAATGTCATATTTAGTAAACGGAATACATCCATTGAGACATTAAATAAGAAAGATTAGTTCAGTGAAGAGTTCTCTTTTCGGTGAATTCATTGAAAATGAAAAGATAACTCTTCGCTGAACTAATCGTTTTTAATTAAATGTCATATTAACTTATTACATTACTATGAAATAATGAACACTAGTATTTAACCCGAAATTATGTATTTAAGAAGAAATGTTAGTTATTTAAAAACGCAAATATTTATTTTATATGTGATTACATATTACCATCTCATAGCTTTTATTTTGACAATTTAACTTCATATTATTTTCCTTTTCAAAATCGATGAATCTTTGAATTTTTAAAATGTTTACGTTAATCTAGATTTTTACTTTTTGTATCAACATAGAATCTATGTTTTTGTCTGCTGACTAATATACTTCACTTTTCATAACATTAATCTTAATATTTCCCGACAAATATTGATAATAGTACGAGTTTATATTTCCACACAGACGATAAATAAGATCATATTTGACCAGTCTTTATTAGCATGTAAACTCTTTCAGAGGATTCTTGAAGTTAGACGTAGCTAAAAATTGGGCCAAACACAACAAAATCCGAGCGTTCAATCTCACTGCTAGTTACAATGCAAAAGGCCCATAGAAGTCTTTTTTTATAAGTAATCATACTACCCTTCTTATTGAGTGATTATTTTCTTGTCAAACTAATTGAAATGTCTGGACATATTTTGGATGAACAGATAATAAGAATTACAAAAAAGCAAATAATTAAATTTATGACCTTCCAACTAATTGCTAAACATGGTCAATTCAGATGATGTTATTATATTCGCAGTTTTATTTGCCTATATTAGCATATTTCTATATATATTCGCTCAACCATAATCTCAGAAATAATTGGTTACCATAGAACAAAAGTCAATGATAAAGACAAAAAGTAGTTACCCGCATGCGAACCCTATTTATTGTCGCATAATTACTGAGAATGTAAATCAAACTAAGTCTTCGACGGGATGATTATTGATAGACAGTATGTTTACAGTAATAATAATAACAACATTAATCAAATTTATGATTTTCACAAAACTTCATTAATGAGGTAAAAAAACAACTTGACTTTATCAAATTTAAACTAAGTAAACACTAATGTTAGATGAATTTCTCAATTCACTAGTACAATATTAGCATGCAAAGAGAATGAAATAAGCACTTTTTGGCTGTACAGAAAAAAATACAAAGTGTCTTTAGAATGGATAATCTATGACTCTTATGTATTATACAGACACCGACCTCATATCTGAAAACAGTTTCTGTCCTATCGTAAATGTATTAAACCAAATAAACATATCTACACTGAAAAAAATGGAAAATTATAATGATATGAGTCGACACATTTTGCAATAGTACAAGGAAAAATAAAAGAAATATTTAGAAATAGATCACCGTGATGAGTCTTGAAATGATAAATAAAACCAGGAAATTTAAGTCTGTATGTATGACAAACAACTAATGGTACCAACCATCAAGACTGGATTTTGACGACAGAACAACAGGTACAACGAATATTAAGTGAAAAGTGCATTCAGCACTGGTACTGCGAATTTCTAAAGATGAGAAATCCAGTCACTAATATATAATTTTTAAAATAATCATTTTCATTGCATAGGAGCTACTGCTCCTATCTATATTAAAAATAAAGCTTTTTGGAAATCCCACAAAACTTTCGTTTCTTAAAATAACATGTTTTCTAAACATGTAATGAGCCAGTCAAATAAAAATAATAATAATTTGACTAGTGCCACACCAAACAGTTACCAACCATAGGTATTAACCTACATGATTGATTTCTATTTTTGAAATGACCCAATCAAAATTCTCGGACCATAGAAAGAGGTATTGCCGTTGACTTTATCCGGAGGTGACGGTAGTAAGATATTTCCCTTAAAAAACCACCATCTATAGTGATGTTGCTTTTTTGCAACGAAAGGATAGGGATTAAAAAATGTAGACAATCAAAATAGTACATCTCCCTTACCTTACAAATTTCCATCATTGGCGGTGATGTCTTTTGAAGTACGGAGCTAGCACGCCAAAAACTACCTGTAGAAAGACAATCTGTGACTAGCCGCAAGCAATTGTTTCTTGAGCTTTTTGGTCATATTTCCAGGCCCTCAAAACCACCCCTGCACCACTTTTATTGTCAGGTACATCAAGAAAAATTATCCTTCCTCGGTGTTGACAGCGGGAAGTGACAATAGCCTTTAAAATCTCAACAGCGCTTCAGATCACCTTGTCCAAAATCCAACTTTATTTTTGTGTAGTTTTAGTTAACGTACACATTTGCGAGCGATAATTGTCCAGTCTAATCATGTGTAAAAAGCTTAAGAATGGCTGGATCAAAAAGCGCCATTATGTCATAAATTCATTGATTATTCATCTTAGTCAAGTGAAATTTTCTGAGTTTTAGTTTTATTAATATCACCCAAAAACTAAATTACACGACTGTTTCTTGACAATAAAATTATAAATTGAAAAACAAATAATTCTCTAAATATTATTAAAAAACTGATGTGTAGAAAACGTTTAGGTTAAAATTATTAGGTTGAACTTCATTGGATCGTAACGAGCCGAACTAAATAATCCAGAAGTTGCATATACCAGTCAACCCACCACCACCACCACTACTTGAAAAAGGAATAAAAACTGTGACTGCTAGACCAAGGTCAAAAATATTTAAAAAGAACAAAATGGTCACAAGTAATAAAAAGTCATCTAATGTTTTTAGATGAACAACAAAATACGTCTTATTTTACTCTATTGGTATTTTTATAAACGTCAAAAAAGTACAACATAAAAAAAGCGCATGCAGTGAGCAACATATTAACACTTATTACTAATTAAATTAAATCAAGAAGTCATTAGATTAAAAGAAGACGTGAGAAATCGAGAAGCAGAATGCTAGAACAGCAGGCTGATTGTTTACTAGTAGTAATAGTAAGATTAGCATCAATTATCCTTACTTACTCATTGTTTCTATCTAACCGAATAGATTTTATATACACAGGTTAAGAAAAAAGAAAGTAGGGACAAATACTCTATTAGCAGACAAATAAACAATTTAAAAACGATTATGATTGTCATTTTCATAATGAAACCTAAGCTCCTTACTATAAATCCAAGTAACGTTTACCAAGAAGCATAATTGACAGATAATAATAACTTAGTTAGATGTTAAGAGATACGCACTGTAAAAATAGTGAACTGCTTCTAACCAGACTATGAGATCAAAACAGTATAGACTCTTTAAGGTTAGTATATAATTAACATTTATGTAGTTCTTATCATTAGACAAAAAATCCGGTCCGTGATTCCACATCTAACCAACGATCAACTACAGTACTTTTTGTTCACATATTTATCATTTCCTTCATTAAAATTAGAACTTGGGCTAAATCATACACTATTAGAAAACTCCGCTAATTTCATGTTCTGGTTAATCAAATATACAAAGCAACAAACATGTCTGAATATCTTAATACTACACGAGTATTCTTTAGACAAATTGACACAAACCAACTCAGAAATAGATTTACGAACTTTCTCCATACTATTTTACACTATATATATATATATATATATATATATATATATATATATATATATATATATATAGCAGTGTCAGTAATGATAAAGACTACAAATTAATATCGACGGCTGAGAAACCAGGATACCTACAACATCATGTATATTAGAGCAAACCTGTAGGACGTGAAATTTCCACCCACTTAACTAGCGTCTGCAGAGAACGAGAACGAATTAAAGCAATAAAAATTCCAATTTCTTATTATCATTCCTTAGTTAACCAACTTTAACTATCTACAAAAATAAACATTAGCATTTAAACAAAGTTACAGTATCTGTTTCTAAATTAACAGTTTGAATTGCCAACAATGTAAAAAGTAAGTTTTAATCAAACGTAATTAGAAACATAAAATGCTGCGAACGGAAAAAACTTCAAAAACATACATATAAACTTACGTAAGCTAACACAACGAATGTGAACAGTACCAATAATACAATTGCTTTGTAAACGCCATACATGCAGATCATGAATTTTATGAATTCCATCAATCTGAATTTCGAAGTAGAAAATAAAAGTAATTGTTATGTTTAAAATACTAAAAATATCAACCAATTTCGAAAATAAAAACACGTACTACGATAGAAGTGTGAAATCATCTCAATTATGTATAACTAAGCATGTAAATTGTGACAGTGAATGCATGAAACCGGTAGGTAAGATAAGGTAGATAATTTGTAAGAACGTATGAAGGTCTAAGCTGTCACACTTCAATCAGTAGAAACAGGAAAGAGGAGTGTGTGAAAAATATACATTGGTTTGGCTAAATAATTTTCTTAAACTCTAAAATCAACTTGCACACGTTTACACGCTAATATGAAAGTCCTTGGATGGAATCTTTCCTACAAAATATGGGACTCTTTATGTGCCACTCATAAAGTTCAAGAATTTCAAGTACTCACGTCAAATTAGGCACTTCAAATGTAAAAACTAAATTATACCCAAGGAACAGACAATAAACATAGATTTTTTACATTTTTGAGGTCCAAAACAAGACTATAACACTAAAAGGGTGGCTAAATAATTGAAAGATTCTTAAACTAAGTAAAAGAAAAAAGATAAAACTATATTCACGATAATCTGAACTACAAATACGGATATATTTTGTTAGGAACACTTAAGAATAAACGTAGGAGAGTACAAACGAATATCTCCTACTGTTAACATGTATAACACTAGCACAATGAGATGAAATTAACAAGATGAATTTCAAATGATAGCAGAAAAATAAACATGGAAAATATGGTACCAACGAAATGGAAAGCATAAAGTAGTACTAAAATCCAAAACTGACAGCAAAATGGAGTGAGTACTGAATAACCGAGTATTAAATTAAGACTGGAATCAGTACAGAGACGATTCACACTTTGTATTCTTGGAGCTGATTGTACCTTAATTTATAATTCTAGATATAATAAACTTGGGCTAGACCCTTTATGGAAGAGGAGACTTAAACTAAATCTCATCTTTTTCTTCAAACTACTTAATAAACTATCCTTTACATCCAATCATGTGATTCAATATGCAAACACTTCTCATTATGACATCCGTAATTCCGTGGGACTAGTGAAACAAACTTATTCTAAATCATCTCTTGATATAAATTACTTTACCTGTAAATTTTCTAGACTCTGGAATAACCTACCACAATCTATCCGTACGATAAAATCACTCCCATTATTTGTTCGCTGCATCGATGCATACTGCTCCTCTGAAAATGCATTGAATGTTCTAGCACCTGTAAGTGTATCTCATTCCACAAGTGATATTATAGGAACTTTAAATGTTTAACCATCTCTATTAGTGCATTCTTTAAGTAAAACCACTTATTTGCTGTCACTTTATGTTAACATCGTCCCCAGCGAGTTTAACTTATTTGAATAACATCAACAGTATATCACTGTCACATGACACACGCATTTTGGTAGACCTGATTGACATATTTTGGTAATTACTGCTTTGTTGTTCCGTGCTCTCTGTTTTCGTTTTAATTTCTCTAATTGTAGATAATTAACATTAATTCAATTTGGCACAAGAAATGACCTTAATTACTCCGTTCATAAATCAACAGGCTGTCCATTTAAGAAATATTAAAAGTTCCCGGCTGATGCATTGGATCGCTGTAATATATGTACTACCTAAACAATCACTGACCTAGTATACTTAAAACTTTCTTCTATCACATGTTTGTTCTGTACATCTCATGTTACTATCCATATCAAATTGATCATGCCTGTAAACTGGCGTGAATTCTGTAATTATTATTAATACCACGAAAATAACGCAGTCTCCCAAACTAAAACGAACTGCACATTAGCATGTGTAAGATACCAGTTCATAAACACTTAGACTTTCGAAAATTCTACGTCTGACAACAATAATGGTAACCATATGAGATGATTAGTCATAAAATTACGGGTCCCACCCATTCCCGTTTTATATGTACCAGAAATTCAGATTATAGAAACTTAAAATAACTCAGTAGATTGTGAGTTCGATCGATTTCCGTATAGTGTTGTGAAAAAATTATTTAATTTTAACAGGCTCAATCAGTAAATGATAATATTGGTAAGATTAGATTACGCTACTCTATATTCAAAGTAACATAAAGTCAGTGTATAATCGACAAATTAACTTACATTTTCCATACGAGTTTTAAGATTTTTTAAACAAATCTCACTAGGAACAGATTGTAGTAAAATTAATGTAGCTTTATACACTAGTTGAAAAGAAAACGAATTCAAAATAAAAAAGCAAGTTAATTTACCAGGTAAATCGTGAAATCATTGATTTTAAATTCACAGAAAAAAGATTACTGAAACTGGCGGTAAAACAAAGTTTAGCAAAGTGAGATCGCCACAAGTAATCAGTAGTGAATATATCAATAATACTAAGGTTTTTGGGGGGATGCTAGATTCACAAAAATCACTTGGTAAACGTCTTATTCATACAACTTTGTTTTGAAAATTTGAAGTTCTTATTTTTGAATCAAAAGCGCCCATTTTTACCTCAAGATTGTATTTCCCACTTGGAAAGACATTAATGTGATTAGTTCGTTTCCTCTTTAAATACGCTATCTTTGACTTTTCCCTAGGACATTTTTATACTGTATATATACGCTTGTTTGTTCGTGTTTCTGACTGCTTGTGGAATATACATTTCCCTCGGCTGAACCTGGTTTTCACCCTATATTTAGCAGCGCTGAGGAGCAGTGAAATAGTTTAGCCTGTCCTGTTGTTGCGTTGCTGACCTTCGTTCCGTTCGCCGGTTTTAGGTGATATCGTAATCTCCTAAACCGTGGCAGATTCATATTAAAATAATTAATCAAATAATTTTCTGATTTTAAATAAAGCCAGAACAAACATTGATGCAGAATAATATGAATTCGTGGTTTCTCATCAGCTGCTTACAACCAAATATGTATTAGAATTTTACATTGAGGTAAGAAATATCAATTGTTCCATACTATTTCTTATCTTGATGTAAAATTCTGATACATATTTGGTCGCAAGCAGCTGATGAGAAACCACGAAATATAATGAATTCATATTGTTATGCATCAATTTTTGTTCTGGCTTTATTTCAATTCATAAAAGGGAACCAATTGTATGAAATTTTCTGATTATTTTGTCTTTTGTTGATCTACCGTGTTACGGAGAACTGCGGTAACTAACACTACTATAAAACACCATTCGTGGAAGTATGAGATAAAGTCGTGACAGTTTCTGATATATATATATATATATATATATATATATATATATATATATATTAGTGTTAATTAATTGTATAAACCTAGATAAGTGCAATGAGATTCGAATCAATTACCGAATAACAGAGAGTATAGTAAATTAGACCAATCAAATACACCTGCAGTAGGTTACGTAATGCTCGTAGGGATGCTAGAGATCAGCATAAGATAGATAAAAATGACCTAATTAATTAATATTTAATGAACTGATCGAGTTTAACGCTCAGGTTACGAAAGTTATAGTACAACTCAGAGTTGTTTATGTCAAATATTTCGTAATAACCAGCGTATAATCGTCGTATATAATAAGCAGAGAATATAAAATAGACTGAATTATCACACAGGCTAACTTGCATAAAAAGCTTATGAACCATAAGTAAATCGATACATGAATTTAAGAGCAATCGCAGAGTCCTACAAATTGGTGGTATCTTATGTCAGTCTTAAGATAATAACAGCTACTGATATCTGTTTTAAAACTATTAATATAATTGGACAACAGGTATCAGGATTGTGTATAGGAAGGTGAGAAAAATTTTTCACTAATCGTGGAGCAGGTGTAAATAGTTAATTAAAACGATTGTGATAATGTTTCTCTTTTTATGCAATCTCCTATTATTCTAAATAGCTTTGAAGGCAAAAAAGTTTAACAGTAATCTAAAGTTGGTAATAATAAGTTTATGAACATATTTAAGCACCAGTAGAAAATATCGACCATGAATCCAAACAGGATAGTAAGTTAGTCAAATTTTAATTTAAAAAGCTAAACGCTCAGTGGTTGTAATCGTACCAGGTAATTTGAACGCCCGGATAGGCAAGTTAAATACAGCTGAAAGATATTTAAGTGGGTTTTCCTGCGTCTCAGCTTAGAGAACAAATAAAAGTAACCGTCTATCGCAATCTCTTATTCCTAGTAAGCGCCAATCGTAAGCATATAGAGACATCATCTATTGTGGCCACCTTCAACATATGGTCAAAGATAGATACAAATAAGCAACATTGCCGTCAGCTATTTTGAAAGAAGCTAAGCAGGAGATTTCCGCTCGTTTCGGAGCACATCTGTAAACTTCGGTCGTAGTGTAGTACGAACACGCGATAGTTTTAGTCATAGTGAACGGAAGGAAACTCATAACAAAAAGACTCGTTAAAGTTCAACATCAGGATAGAAAGACTAGCAGCATACTCCAGAGACAATTAAAAAGCACTTATGCAGTCATCAAATAGGTGTTCATCCAGAAGTATCTCTGTACAATGTCCCAACGGCTTTGAAGACGACAATAATATCTATCAGTGAAGAAAATCAAAATGTGGAGGAAGATCAGTGATCTTCAGTGGTGTCAAGTGAAATGATAGATACTCAACAACTTTTGTCAGGCTTCAAACACCAAGAGAAGTTATATACGAACCGAAAAAAACGAGTAAATAAAAAGAAACGGAAAAGGGAACAGCTACAGGTAGTAATAATAGTGTTAATAATAATAAAAATGATATTTCCTGACTTGGAAGCACCATTTAACTTCTCGACTGAGGCTCCTGGTACATATGTTTTGTATGTCCAACAATTGTCTACCCTGACATAAAAGGCTGGTTGGTGTGGGAGTAAATTGGAAGGGAGCTAAAAGGTCTTTAACCAGTCTAAGATCATGAGTTATAAAACTGTTTTATATCCATTTATTTTTTTAAAAATCATATTCGCTACATAACTTTTTTATTACCACTGACACTACTACGCATACTACTATGATACTTGTCATGATAATTTCATCTCATCATACTGTGATATGGTAACATGAGACAATACCCATTTATTCCACTTATTACTGACTTACCAACTAAGTTCAGAACTGAATGATTCTCATAAGAAGCTATTTTACAATGGACGAAGAATCTGACATTATAAGTTTTAATATATAAATATTTTACTACAATTCTTGAAGGAAATTCACTTGCGAATTTAAAACGTTACGAGTATCAGTAGTTTAACTTATTATAACTATATGGTACAAGAAAATACTTAAAGTAGTGCGACATTATGTAACAAATCTAAGTTTGTTTAACAGCTGGTCTCAATAACTAGCGTGTTCTAAGAATCACGTTATCTTAAGGCTGGAACGATGTATACACGAAAAAGGGACCCTGGTTGGAAAAGAGCTTATTCGTAGATACTGTTTCCGTATCGTAACCACACGTTATCAGATTCACAGACCTTTAAAATACAGATGAGGCTTCTACTGCACGAGATATAACACCTTAAATATTATCCATGTCTAGGTGATACAGCGTAAATAAGAGTAATAAATCAAATCAAAATAGATTTTCGTACGAATAAACATCATATATTTTGATCAAAAAAGTAATATATAAGTCACCATGATCACGAAATGTAAAGTGATTGATAATATTATTCAACGGAAAGATATGTGAGAGACAATATAAATAAATTTGGTAAATACATAGAGATTATAGCATGTCAGTTCGATAACATTCAAACATAATTACTTTGCATAGTTTGTTTTAAAGAAGATATTGACACATCAATAGTAATGTCGAATAAGAGAATAAATGTACGTGATAATGTACCAAAAATCTTTGGAAATCCAAGGTCCCAAGTCCTAAACTCATTAAATATCTAATAATTTTCGAATATCATATCAATAGGCTATGTGTTGTGCGATTTTTAACTCGTTTGTCCTATCTAATACTTACGCATATTACAAAAGATTTCACTAAATCGAATAAAACGGTCACTATCGAGGAATTATTTAATTTTTTTGACTATCCCCCAGTTGCAGATTATGACAATCCAATAAATCAGAAAATATAGTCTCATCAGTAGTTGTCGATTACCTTCATCTTGTCATTTTTTAGTATCGATATTTTATCATTTAATCAGTCATCCCTACAAACAACTTGTAATCAAAACTGTGATTTTCACAAGCTTCACAAAAGTACAAAAATCAGAACTGAAGACTTACTAAGGGGTATAGCAGTAATCAAGATTATGGTAACCATGAGTATGCTAAACAATTTAAAATATAAAAACAAAATACACAAAGAATTTATAAATGCTCAAACAAATTTACTACTTAAGCGTTAAATTAAAAAAAAATCGATCACCAATTAAAACAGCCACTTTGATTATCCTATGAAACAAAACCCAGGAATCGGTCGAAATGATTATATAGTAGGTAATGTAACTAAGCAGACTATTTAGTTAACGATATGATATTACTATCCATAGGATTTATTAATGTAACTGTTATAATTCTCTCTTATTATAACGCAGCCTAGTATTCTCGGACACCAATTCACTCGACAAGACCCCAAGTCAAAACACGGTTGAACAGGAAAGAGATTATATTCCAAATAACAAGGTTAGATGGAAGTAAGAAGCACAATAGGAAAAACGTTAGTATATTTATAGTTTTTACATGAGAGTTCTAGAGTGTTCTCCAAGTATCGACTAGCGCTGATCGGATAAGAATTAGCCAATCAGTGTGAGCCAAAGTAAGTCGTACATTGAGCATGCTTTAATCCAATCTGTCCCGCTAACAATAACCAATGTCTAGAGACTGGTCATACAATTAAATGGAAGATCAGTATAACAAACCACCATTTATGTTGTTTTAAATGTTACTGCAAAAAATATTATTGAGAAAGAGCTAATTTTAGAACACTCATAGTACACCAAAACAATTTTAAAAACTAACCAAGATAACTAGGATATTGTCATAAATTAACCAGTCACTATTAAATTGAGAGTAGATGGTAATAAAATTATCTCTCATGTTAGTATTTTTTCAAACTCTAGAACGAAAATCATTTGTCTTAGAATAACTAAACAGCTTTTCTACTGCGGAGAAACTTAAAATCGTGTCTAATTAATCCGTTATTTCACTTAATGGTAGAATAAAATACAGTTAATCTATTTATAATGTCACAACTTACGATGATGTTCTAAACGTACAAACAGATTGTATTTAATGTTATTTTTAGTTAAGAGCCATCTTTCGCCGAAAACATGAGATTTACTCATCGTCAGGAAAATCCATGAATACATGATAGTAAAATAACCAAAAACTAACAGATAATTTGAGTTTGTCGGGCCAATCAAAAGTAACGAGCAGTACTAATCATCACTGACCCAATAAAACATCCCTAACACCATCAGTGAGGCTGTACTATTATATTGAGAACGCAATAATAATCCCTTCCTACCTCTAAGAGTCAAATCGGTAATTATTACGATCCTATTTATTCTTATACTACTCCTTATTTTTCAGTTGATCTCAACTTTATCCTTTCACGTTAATTATCCAATTATTCATAAGATTTTAAATATAGTTTTTACAATAAAACTAATTTTGCAGTCGATATGTTTGATATTCCGGACTAGACACGCAGATACGATAATAGGCCAAGTGAAAAGTCTGGAATTCTTCGATTGTTTAGAAGGCAAAGTAACGGCACAATAAAAAAAGTGTGGAACAACTTAATTCAAATTCCGATGGGCTAACAAATAAAAAAGGTAAGAGCTAGTATAGTATGGTCACGGATGAACTGGTTTCACAATCCAAAATAAATAGAATGTTAAAACAGTGCTAATATACTCAAAGCTAATCAATTAACCTATTTTTAAATGTGCTATGGTGCTGGACATTAGTTGACTGAATATTGATATTTTCTAAGCAAAAAGTAAATGAAAAATTTGTCTCACTGTAAGAGGTGCTAAATGAATTAGACTGTCATTTTGGTAATAATATTCTGGAATCAAGCCAGATTTGTTAAAAATGGCAAAACATCGACAATCAAAATAAGACTACGTTAATTTCAACGATAAATTGTACTGAGAAACGTTTTAAAAGGATGGGGAACACTAAGTACTGTGTCTAAAACGTTCCTTCAGGTACGCATACAGTAATTTATTACATCGTTAACTCCATACATTTTATTTGGTTGTGATAGAGATTCCCGGTAAAAGCGAGAATATCCGACTTCGTATACAAAGGGGTATGACCGCTAGTCCTTCGTTTTCTTACCTCCCCTTATGCTGCTTAATAAACTCCCCATTAATATATTCCTAATTTTAAAATGTAACAGTATACAAATAGCTTGGTATCGACACAACTGAAACAGATTCCTTAAGTTCGACGTTTTTTTTAAAAACACTACGACTTACCTCATAGATGGATCAATATACAACTTCCATAATGCTTCGCCTTTGGAAACCTCACCGGGGACTAACAATAATACAAGTGCGCTGACTACTACGATAACGGAACCCATGAAATCAGCCAACACATGAAGAAATACAGCTTGCATGTTCATCGAGCCTCTATGAGCTAAATTTTTGAGTAGAAATGTGAAAAAACATCAGGATTTAACTGAGCGCTTTGTTAGGAAACAAGGTATTCTTAAAAAAACTAAGGAGCTAAATCACATAAACAACTGACTACTGTGACAAGTTTTCATTTAAAAACAAATAAACTAAGGTCGTGTTGCAGTGAGTGTATCATACGTTCCCTAGGTGGATGAGTTACTTCGTCAATATGGACTTATTTCAACACTGCATGTGTAAGTTACTCAACAATAATCGAGACAATAAAAACCGAATGCTTATAGGACTACTAGAGATTTGATAGCTCTGTGGCCAACATGGACTGGGTCACCTAGTCATTTCTACTCATAGTTGTTTCTAATGAAATCAAATGGAAGAAAATATTTAGATATGTAGAGCACATTTAATGCGCTCCAAACTTTCAAATGCAAACTTAATCAAGAAGTATTAGAGTCTGATTTAAACGTTGCAATAAAAAAATGAAAATGAAAGTTAATCTGAAGACTTAAAGATGTGATGATCATAGTATACACAACTAAGGATTAACTTACACTTTTTCGAGTGATTATGTTTGATTTTAGCAGCAACCTTTTGTTGGTTGGTATCAAGTTGTGATGCCTCAAAATTATCCTGTTGGTCCTTATCGGTAAAACGTTGTAGGGCATTACCATCCACTCTATCATACACATTGTTCACTCCAGAAATGGGCTGAGTCGAATTAACTTGTAAAAAAGCTTCATCAGTATTATTTAATGGCAAAGTAGTACCGAAGGCTGTTGGTGTTAGTGATGCCTTAAAAGCATTTGAAAAAAAACCTCAGAATTAAATACTTAAAAATAGCTCAAAGACGGAATTTATCGAAATTCATAGGTAATATGGGTAATATTTATCACAAGAATCTTCCTCATATGAAACTGGCTCTCGTAAAATCAAAAGTACCAAACCGTTTTTATGTTTGTTAAACTTTGTTAAACAATGAAACTTAAAACCTTGCTTTTGGACACTTAGAAAATCAAGAGTGTGATCTAAAACACCGAATGTTACCAGTTTTCTATATATATATATATATATATATATATATATATATATATATATATATATATATATATATATATATATGTTAATCCAGACGTTCCATGACGGGCTATATTTTATGAGGAATGAAAATGCTACCTGACTGTCGAGTATAAACCAACTTTTGACTTGTTAATTCAGGATGCAAATGTAGATTGTTTGAGAACATACAAGAATCGCGACCTGCTGGCTAAAACGTTTAGTGCCACAAAATCAAGTCACACGCTTACTTAAATAACCACTAACTCAAATAAAATGTACTTCATAGCAAGGAGTAACAACGAAGGTGTGAATACTGACATAGATCCGTAGATGAAAATGCGTAGAACAGATTAACTGGTGAATCCTTCCGAAAATGCCAGTGAACCAAAAATCACCTGGGTTCAGCATTCCGATGACCCTAAAATAACTTCTCCATAAAGTTTAGACCATAAAAACCTACGGGTCGAACTATGATTTGACACGTAAATTGCCATTGATACTATATATCTACTATTTGATTTCGTTAGTTGGTCCATAATCTAAATGCTTCCTCTATAAAAATTCATCTTAAAAGCAACATATAATGTTATGGTATGACAACAATAATATTGTCATTTACTTTTGATAGATAAACAAGTCGATTTCTAAACCCTTTACTGCAAGAAAATAATTTCCTAATTTCCAGCTTGAAAGAATTCTAAACCCATCGTCTAAACATGCTTGACCACCCATAAAACAAAGATGTGAGGTACAAAAGACCAGATGTAACTTACGTCTACCGCCGAATCGATTCCGCCATGCGAACCCTCATGTGAATGACCGCCAAGAACAATAAGTCCCAGTATGTTAACCAGTAGACCTCCACAACCAACATATACCATCATTTGAGGACTTTCGATTGCTTGAGTCTCAATAAATCGTTCAATGGCCCTCAAAAGAATGGTCATGCATAATGTAATTAAAACGACCGTATTGATCAAACTGCCCATCACTTCAGCTCGCTGCCATCCAAAAGTATTTCTAGACGACCGAGGCCATTTGGCTATCTGAGATGCTACGATTCCAATAACCAAAGCAAGACAATCAGATAACATGTGAAACGAATCTGCGACCAGAGAGATGGAATGTATAGAAATTCCAACGACCAGCTCGACCAGGAAATAAATTATAACAAGCACTAACATAAAGATGAGCCGAGTTGTATTTCCACATGACACACCCATGACGTTTCTGGTGTTAACTTTCGAAAATCAAAATACAATAATGAACAAAACACAAGCTAGTTAGGACACATGCAACAGCCAACTTCTTGACGAACTAATGGACGGACCAAAGCATGCGCCTTTACAGAGTTGATACTCTTAATCAAACAAATAAAACAAAACGTTTATGGTGAACAAAGCTGCAGACTATACCAATATATCCAGAAATAGTGATAGTTTAATTATAAAAAATGAAATTCGAAAAAGTGATATTCATTTGAAGTGACCAGGTTTGAACTTATAAAGTCAGGAATATTTTTTTAATTTTAGGTGAGGAGACGGAAAGCAATTGTCTTTAGAGTTTTACACCATTAGATAAGTTGGCTCGTAGCAAACCTCAATTATCACTGTTTGTCAGAAACCACAGGTTCAGATAGGGGAAGGGACTTTAACCTCGTTTATGGTGACCCTATCCCCTTAAAGTTAACTCAAGCTCACTGGTGAACGAAATTTGTGTATTTTAATTTTTTCCGTAACGTTTCATACGACTGCTTTAAGTTTTGGTAATTTTATCCATACTTACATCCTACAATACTACGACATTCGCTTGTGTATGGGTAGAACTTGTAGTGGTATTGGTTCTCAATCACACGATATCTTATGGCAAATATACGGTAACTGGGAAGATTTACATTCAACGCATAACCCCAAAAAAAGGTCGGGAATGGTGGAGGCAGGGTTACTTAACCTGTATAGCAAGGCTAGATCATGCAGGTGGGATCACTCTATGTAACTTACTCCTTTTCATAACCCCAACTTCAATGTGTTCTTCAGAAGTGCCAAACATCATGCTGTTGACTATCGTGATAGAATGAGTCGGTATATACGATAATGTGACATTCACGTAAGATTTCATTGGCTTAGCAGTCACATTGCGGCAGATCTACAATTTCGGGACTAGGTATACCATTCTAGTAGAGACGATAAATACTATTAGCCCCTTTGATAAGTTAGGATAGTGCTATAAGAAGACGAAGATTATCAGAGAGGTGTGTGCTTTAAACTCAGTTTGGATACTAGTAAAATGACCGAAACATGTTTGGTTTTTATTTCGCTATCTTGCGTATCGCAAACATTGATCGTAAATAGCGTTAAATCACTTATTTAATACCGTGTCCGACGATGTAAGAGAATGTACTGTGAAAAATTATTGTCTGTATTGTTGTTTCAGAGCGTTGTGAAAAACATTGAGATGGGCAGATAATACAAGCGGAAATCACACACTTTAATAATGTATTCCATAAGACATGAATTGATTAAGATGTACAGGTTAAGAGTGAATTTCAATCGGTTCCACAGAGAAGTCAAATTAAATTATATGGATGAGTTAACGTTTATAAGCCCAATCAGCAGATAGTATGAATAATCATTTTCTTGCATTTAAGTAAAAATTAACTACACTCTAACCAATGGTCAAAATTTCAAACAAGGCAAAATGTTCGAATAATTTGTAATTTGTGACCAAACATTTAATGCTTTGATGTATATATTTGATCTTGCTCGTAAACTGGCATGCCTCATGTAACACACTGTTATTTGAGAATAAATTAATAATAATAATAATAGTTCTATGTTTACAGCGGGTAATAAATTTCATTTGATAGTTTATTTCAAACTTAGAATCGCCCAATATGTTATGATCATGGTAGGTTAGTTTGTTGTTAATATCATATATATAGACTATAACTCAACAAAATCGTGTGTAGGGCCAAAAAAAATTACACGACCCTAGACAAATGGTACAGTGGTCAGATCAATAAACACCAGTTCGATGCTCGTCAAAATCAGCCACAACTAACACGCGTTAGCCACTTGTACTCCATGAACATGTTCATGTGGCAGTGTTCGCAGTCTGTTTCTTATACCTATTCTTACTAACACATTTCTATCATAAGGTTGTTTGTACTGTGAGGTCATATTAGCAACCACAGTACATGGATACAAAAAAATCTACGTCAGTTATTAACCAAGGGTCATAACGTCGAAATAGACTGGGAGGTGATGCGATTAACGTTCAAATCAGGTAGGCCTTCGGCCATCCACATAGATTGCTAACATCGATAATCTACAACTGTAAGGCGAACAATTTTGTACAAGTCACATGATAGTTGAGCTTCTAAACACTGCATTTCTAAAGGCATCATTTTGCAATGGTTCTCCTGTTTCTACGTTTTGTTATTAAGCGAATTTATGATGCTAGTCATTTGTATCTGATCCGCGGATTATCAAGAACTTGCACAATCCTGAATAATGCAATTCGACTTATTTGTCTACTGACGAGGAATACAAAGTGAAAAACGAGTCAGTAACAACGATGAACTAGTTAAATATATATATATATATAATTTACGGTTGACAATGCCTATGCAAGTTACTACTATTTTCCTCTTATCAAAAAGTATATCTGCATACATATGGACTTATGGCATTCACGCAGATGCGAACGACTCAAATAAAAAGTATAATGCATTTCTTTACACTATAAGGTGTTTTGCAGTACAGGTGGTGGAGTTGCAGTGCTGTACTTGAATCCATGTGATGTGTAAACTAAGTAATCTCTTCCATACTCGGACTAACTAATACTAGCTATCTACCACTATGGTTATTTATGATAAAGCCTTTCAAAGACCAGTATTTTGGGACATTTCTGCTTTTTCCAACGCACTGAAGAAAAATTGTAAGCCATGCTAAAAAGCGTTCACACTGTTGTAACTGAACAGAATATAGTCCAGCAGAACATAACCTACAATCTAAAAGAATTACTATTGATTTTTATTGTAGCCTCACTCATTATATTACTACTTGATATGTGCGAAATCAAATTACATTTCGAGCTTAAAAGTTATAAAACATGCATATAACATAAAGATCAAATATGTAAAACATGATTCTCACCTCCCTACATCCGCAGATTAGGTATAAATGTCTCTTACGTACAGGAAAAAAGGTTTATTTCATAATTCCCTAACTAACTTCAAAACCTGAGAAAAACTGTACAAACCAGGATCATATTTTAGGGCTTAAAACATTTAATCATGTGATGAATTTTATAAAGTTCAGTTCTTAATTATACGTGATAAATTGTTTCGTGAGTTACTATCTCGGCGAGACTCTAATTTAAGGACGAGCCAATCAGAAGCGTTTGAGCCATTTCAAGATCACGGAGCTAGGTTTAACGCATGATGCACACGTACGATAGATTTACAGCGGATTTTAGAGAAAAGGTCATTATTGAGAGGCTACAAGAGATGGGATTACTACGAAGTTCTTGTGCGTGTGACTGCGGTTCTGAAATGACTGCAGTAAAGTCTGCAGACCACCACGGCGAGATTTTATTCCGTTGTTCTTCATGTTGGAGGAAAACGTCTGCTAGAACGGGGACTTTCTTTGCTCGATCGCGACTGAGATTGAGACAGATCATGATAATAGTTGCGAATTGGGTTATAAAGACACCAGTAACACTGGCTGCGGCATTCGCAGATGTTACTGAAACCTCAGCAGTCCAGCGGTATGAATACTGCCGTGACATATGCGCAGCTAAATTGACAAGTATACAGCAATCATTTAGAGGAGTAGGACCTATCGTATAGATAGATTAAACGGTAGTGAGAAAGAGAAAATACAACAAGGGACGTAGTGTGAAGGAAGATTGAGTAAGTAGCATTTTCGTAAATCTACTTCACAGGTACTTGAAATTTACGATAGATCAAGTCGAAAGGGACATTTCCAGAAGGTCATAAACCGTCAAGCAACAACAACAATACCAATCATACAGGAATATATGCTACCGGGTACTACAATATATACGAATGACTGGAGAGCGTATCGATGTCTTCATAGGCTTGGATATGTTCACCACATCGTAGTCCACAAACGTCATTTTGTTGACCCAACAACCGGCGTTCATACGAATAACAGTGAAACAATGTGGTCACGATTGAAGGACCTTTAAGACCATATCACGGCTCCAGAGGTCGACTATTATGGAGCCATATGGACGAATTTCTATACCGTATGCAATATTATTTCAAAACATCTGAACCTTTATCCAATCTTAACAAGTTTTTAAATCATGTAAAAGAAGTATATCCCCTGTAATTCTTTAGTTTCCTCTAATAAATTTTTACTTTATACTAACTGTCTTCTGATTGACTAATATTCTCAAGGTCACTTAAAATTCGTTCAAAGGTCGTCCCTTAATTAGAGTCTCGCCATGAACACACTTTGCAAGTGCAGCCAGCCAAATCTCGCCTTATTTCTTTCGTATTAGGTCCGTATAACATGCCATATACTAGGATGGTCGAATCCAGGACGTTGTTCATCTGTGTAGGTAAACTAACAACAAGTTCAGTGAAGTAGGTTAAAACGAAGTTATTTATAAGCGATTTCTAGATAGTTTTCAGTTTATGCTCTTATATACTTATACTCTGTGACAACCTAGATATCAGCTTCTATGTGAGAGATACTGAAAAAACTGAGAAATATAAAAGTGTCAATGACTTTAAGACAAGAGTTTTATGATCTACTGCAGGTACTTTGACTACGTTTTCCAGGCTTTTTCACCAACTTCATCTTTATTATCGTTCTTTTGACCAAATAACTGCATGTTAAGTTAGTTGGAGGCGTTCTGTAACTTAGTCGGATGTCAGTATGAACCCTTCAAACAGCATGTCAAGACGAATCAGGAGGCGCTTTCGTAAGAATCATAGCAGAACAATAACACACCTATTTTCTAAACGACATGCGTCCAATCTTTCACTTTACCTATTGTTCTAAAATATGCTAAGACTGATGGATAAATATGATCAATATGCGTGCACTATAGAATTAACTAAATAATATAAATCTTTAAACTCCGGAAATGGCCACAAACATGAAGCATAGCTATAAGCAGATTGAAAGGGGACCCTTTGGCTAACTACTAACTAATTCAACATAGAAATTGTTAGCTTGTGAAAAAT